AGCAATCGCGCTCGACGTGCGAGGAGACACACCTACACTCGCGAGTACTATATTTGGCCCCGGCGGTGTCTCAGAGGGCGTTTATTGGAGGTGTCGCCGAGGGTACCCGGGTGACACAGGCCCGGTCGAGGTTGCGAATTCCGCCTCATAATTCCGCATCGGCTGCACCCCGTAACAACACATTTCATGTTAAATCAGTAGTTTTTTTTTTTTTTTTTTTCATTTAAATCAAGCGTTTCAGTTCATCGTTAAAAATATGTTGACTTGCGTCAAATATTAATAATAATAATAAAAAAAAAAAGAAAAAGCCTAGCTTAGATACGTGATTAGAGAGTAAAAAGCTTCTTCGAAAAGAAAACTGAGACTGAAAAGTATTAAGTCCGGGTCTGAGAGCAGAGCAGAGAAGAGACGAAATACGAAAGATAACCTGGCCAGCACTGAATATTTGATAAGCCTTCGATCTCTTCCAGGAAAGAATACAAACAGAAAAAGGGGAAGAAAGGAAGTTAATACTTTTATTTCTTTGTAGATGGAAGAAGGAAAAAATTACTAGGTTGTAAAATACAAGTAACTCCCCTACTACTATAGTCTGCCCTCATTCCCAGCCTATACTTCCTCTCTACCTGCACCTGTTTGCATTCCTTGATATTTAAAATTTGTAGGCATGTTGACGTCTCATGAAGCTGTGCCTATATTCATCAAACATGTATTTTAGAGACACACTTATCAGCTGAGGGCTGGACTTTGAAAGACAGGAGTCAAGCATACCTTCTTTCTCCTTAACTATGAATATGTTAAAAATAAGAAAAACAAGTCTCCTGAATTATACGACAGCATACACACAGTCATTTTTCTAGTCAGACCCAAGAAATGGGCGCTCATGGCTCGGGGATAAGCTTGTACTTATAATATAGGAGGGCGAGAGGTAACGCGTGTGCGGCAATCCACGCGGGCACAACAGCAGTGCCAAGTGGGGTGCATTAGTCAAGCTCCCATTATACAAGCTCGGGAGACTCTTAAATTATCCAAGACTCGCGGTGGCATGCCACGCTGGACTCCTCGCTCCGCCTACCCTTGCGAATCGTTTATTAGATAAAGATATACGAGCAGGTGACTTTTTATCCGTCCCACGGTTTTCTCTCTTTCTTTATTATCTTTATCTTAATTACTGTTAATATTTTTATTTTTTTTATAATGAAGTCCCGGAGCCGATCTTACATACAAAATAAGGCTACTCAAACAAAAATGTAATATTCTATGAAAAGAATAGTACTTACTAATGTTATTTCCTCCAATTTTGCTACATCAGTTATTGGTCAGCTGATTTTTGTTACTGTAACTTTACTCCACGGCTGTTTTGTTTAGTTAGTAGCATTGATATTTTTTACTGATTGACATACAGTTAAAATTTTCCACTGAATGGAAAAAGTATTACAAAACGAAGTAAGTCGCAACTTTGGGTAAATTCAAATGGCACAACTGTACACAAACATTGATCGCATCGAGCGAGACGAGGAAGGTCGTGAAGGAGGTGTCGAGGAAACGAGCAGAGGCGGAAAGTATCAGAGAGTGGCTGGAGGCGGAGGCGCGAGAGACCGACTGAATTTACCGCGACGAGGTACTTAATTTTGCTTTCGGAATTAAGTCGAGGAGTCGCGGAGGGGCTTGGGATGGCGCCGTTTACGCGTTGGAGCCGAGAAGAAACGCGACTCGAGTGCGATGCTTCGGGGAAGGGAAGTGGGTATACACGCAGTCGAGCGCCACACCTATCGGGGACCAGAAACGCAAGAAGATCTGGGCAACATCATCTGGCGCTCGAGTGAGGAGTTTGCGTCGACTTTCATCCCAACTGTGTCTGAAAATTAAAATATGTACTCCAAGGGGGGATTCACTTGGAATTTCCATGAATGTGGAGGGACCTACCACGATACACTCACATTAGATTACATTGAATGTGTGCAGATTCAGATTTGCTTAGTTTGGAATTGATCGTATCTAGTTAGAACAGAGTAATTATTTCCATTTACATATTGCCGTTGAACCAAATTTATTACCTAATTATCACCTACAATCGGGGAGTTTGTGATTGCAGTTGCGAGTAAGGAGTTGGAAATTGCTTCATTGTAATATATACAGCAAAGCTCACGCGCGCATTCGTTCCGAGGCACCTCGTTCCCGTTTAACCACTTATCACGTCAGAATTAGCGGCAACATGTTACGCGAAATGAGCCCAAGGGCAGAGATTTGCGAGCGTAGAGTAGGTACCGCGAGGTACAGTCTATCTGTATCCCTATACGTTCACGCGCGAGTCTACGTGGGTAAGCACCTCCATCCTTTTCCGCAGCCCTTCCGTACTCCCGCACTTGTACCCACGAGTGCGTTTGTTCTCGTATGTGTATATCTAAGGTTTAAAATAAATAGAGGCAAGTCAGTGTTATTCCACGTAATTTGGTTAATTGCGTGAACGTGTGTGCTGTGGTGAGTAGATAAATATTTTTCTTGCCCTTTTCAATGTTGTATTTTCTTTGATTGTTATCTTGGCGTTCCGATGAGGATTATAATGACACTAAAGAAAAGCATTAGTTACTTCTGTTTGTTCTATTAATATTCCTGAACAAAAGAAACGCATAAAACATGATAATATTTTTTGATAAGTAGTAACTGAGTACACAATATTCATCCTACGAAACTGATGCACAGTGATGACTAAGAATTTGAAGACAACTCAGCTACATTTTTTTCGTACGTTGAACCTAAAAAATCATTAAACTAATCAATGATGATTTTAAATGTAAAAATAATATCTCATGATAGCTTATATGATTCAGTCTCTACTCAAAAAATGTGAATGTATTTGCTTCTACATTATGTAGGATAACACTTACACACTGAAATTAAATTGCTTTCTGCAGTAGAAAGTACTTAATAGTTTTTGTCTGGATATGAACAATACCAAACTATAGTAGCATAAAAAGAAATGTAATGTCTACTAAATGAAAGAAGTAGTAAGAGAAAAAAAAATAAAAATAAATAGTCACTTGCAGTTCTTTTACCTCATGTTATCTCATAACTATCTGTTTTCACTTTTTCTTTAGTAATATCTGTAACTTTAAATACCGTTGGCATTAGTGATAAATGTATCAACCCAAAAATCAGCTCGCCTGTAAGTAATTTCTCTTTAATCGTGGACAATCATACACGTACGTATCAATAATCTCTCTCGTAGTAGCATAGCAGTCTTTCAAATTCCCTTGAATTTCACGGAGAAAATCACCAACAATCACCTTCGTCGTACATCATCCGAGTCACACACAGTTTTACTTACATGCAGATCCACGTGCATGTCTGTAAATGTTTTACATAGTGTTGGAAACGCGTAACTACGTTCGCATGACCTACGGACATATCCAAAGGATATCAACTTGCAAACCGTTTTCTTTTCTTTCACTATCCCTCAAACATTAGCCAACTACCTTCACCTCGGCTTCTTCCCTTTTATTTCGTCTATTGTACTTTAATCTTACATGTAGTGTAAGTCGAATGTGTATGGCTCCTTCTCGTGTCATCCTAAAGCTGTTATCTGAATCGAGAGATAAACGCGTTGTATTAGTGCACATAAACATCCAATCGAACCACCTATACGAGTATTTGCGGATCTCGATTACTTTGGTGTTAAATTAGAGTGCCCCTCAGTCGAGGAAACCTTCAAAAATAGTCGACCCTCTCCCTGTACGCGTTGACGCAGAATCGCCGAGCTGTTATGCTTCGATGTACTGCTGATGTAAGACTAGCAAAGTGTTAGTCCGTAAAGTTGTATCTTTTTTCAAACGACCAATTATATATTAGTTATACGACTTCTTTATCTTGAAGACATTAACAATTTCAAGTCCATCAACATTTTTTTACTCTCCGAAAAATCCTTGATATATTTTCCTGAACTTCTGTGTAATTGATGCAAGTAAAAGTTTAGTAAATAATTATCACTTTGTGTGAACATATGCCAATTAAAAGAACCACATGAAGTTTACGTGTTTAATAAGTATGGACAGTAATACTTTATTTACTGAACTGCTACTGTTTAATTAACAACTTCGAAATGCGAGTGTACGTACAAAACGAGTAATCTAGAGGAGGTAGCGATTCGGTGGTTGGGCTTTCAAGCCAAGAGTTACCTGTGATTATCAAGTGAATGAACAGAAAGACACTTCTCATAAATGTATACCAGCGATGAACATGTCCAGCACAAGAGAAACTTTTGTTCGAACGCCCTATACAATTTTTACTATGCGTATTATTATCAAAGGTTTCTTCTGGTGGCTGAGTACAAACGATGATAAAAACTAAAAACTCGAGAACTCGCAACGATAACGTTTGTTCATACAAAAAAATAGTTATTAAACTGTATTTAAAGCTTGGACACCTTTTAAATGAATTTTTAGATAAAATGAAATAAGTACCATTGTCAAACAAATGTATTGACGTAGTCACTCCCTCACATCTATCACACACTTTTTATTTGCTTCTATGAAAATACTATGTATCTAATATTTTGTTGCTCTATTTAATAGTTTTATGTTACATCAGATTTATAAGTCCAAACACTATCGTAAACAATAAAAAATAGAACACATGAGTTCCAAAACTGTATTTTAGGATTGATACAAGAAATACTAGTACAAAAATTTAAGAAATCTGATACATACACCAATAAACTTCTGTTAGTCTAAACTAGACTCCTTCTCGTACGAGAAGCTACGCACTTTATTTCTCGTTGAAAAACCTTGGTATCGAAATTCCTTAGTGATTTATAACTTATTATTAATCGATAAGTACAAACACTTGATTATGACAAAAATTATGCTGAAACTTAAAAGTACAAAATTTTAAACACATTAAAAAAAATTAGCTCACACCTTTGAAAATTAATATAAATTGGTTAACACCATTGAAGAAGGCTCGTTTTTTCTTGTTGATTTTAGAGAACTGAATTTTAATTCAATCTAATCTAGTTTGTAAAAGTTGCGACATTCTTTAACACTAATTTGTTTCTGTCTATCCAATGTACGAAGTTTTATTATTGATGCAGCCGAAATTAGCTCGTCTTTCGCCTCGCCAGCAGATACACGAGATCTTTGCGATACAGTACTGTTTCCGTAGTACTGATAACTTTTCATTCCAGTCTTTGGAAATACAATGATTTGATTTTTATATGCTCTGACAAACCAGAGATTACCTTCTTCGTCGAAGGTCGGGTAATTCAAGCGTTCGCCTTTGCTCAAAGCATATTCAATCTTCTTTCTTAATGTAAAAGAGAACGAATTTTTTAGACTATACTCATACACGCATACAGGATAGACCGTGCTAAGAAAGATGATACCCGTGTTAGATACGGTGATGCCCCTCCATAGGTCTTTCTTCAAGTTCAGCTTTTTGACCTCTTGACTGGTGCTCGAGCTTAAGTTCCGACTCTGAAGCACGTGGGTAGGTATAGCATATACTTCACGCGGATATTCAGTCACGTAGTAGAGTACCCGACCATTTTCTCCATCTGCTGGTGATAAAGCCATTTCAGTGATCGAATGCCCACCTACCTTGATCTTCCATGAGGTGAGGGTCTGCAGCGAAAAGACAATCAAGCCATGTCCATATCTTTCGAAGCTAATATAAGCAAAGCCGCCATTTGTGTGGTCCAACACGATGTTACCGAGTACGAGTTTATTCAGACCCACCACTTTAGGTGGGAAAACGTGATTCACGAGTACCTTGCCTTCGTCTTCAAGATCAAGGATCACCAAACGCGGGGAACATTCAACGCTGTTGGTTCTTGTGATTAATTCGTTTCCACTGTCCACTACCCACATTCTGCCCATTGGATCGATCTCAATACTCCAGATGGACTGGAAGTCCGAGCAGTCACCACTAAGTCTCTGCATGTCCCAGTTAGGGTACGGTTTGAGCAATGGTGACTTGTTGCCATTTACCGGTGTGGCTGGGGTTACGGCCAGTGTTACTGGTACACCTGTGTTCCAGCCGTGTATGGTCAAATACATGTTTTCCTTCCAAAACTTAACGCTCCTCACCCAGTTTCTATCAGCCACATAGGACTTGTCCTTGACAGCTTGTTGATATTCTTCATAAGATGGCCAGGTGTAGTTTGTCCCGTTCTTCCACTCAAATTGGACGTTGAAGAGCTCTTGGGCCAAAGACAGGGAGTAGAGGGTACTCAACATCAACCCGCACTTAAGCAACATTTTTTTCCACTTTTTCTTTCGTTTAAGCAAAAATAGGACTCGGAATACACTGACAAGTTGCTTTTAGTTTCTGCAATCCAAGAAACAGGTTGTAATCAATACTTCCACTACAGAGAATTACACAGAGGACTTGTTTTATTATACGAGTATGTTAGTAAATGTATGAAAAATTAAGTGTGATCGAATATTAATAGGAGAAGCAGTAGCTGCTTGTTCTTTCATAAACAGTGGTACAACACTAACGAATCCATCCAAAACGAAGTGTTTTTATATCTTAATACTTTAGCCAAGTGCTCAACACTTAATGCTTCCGTAGTGATAATGCAAACAGCTTGTTAACGTTTGATAAAGACTATATCAAAAGTCATGGATATTCATGACGTGGCTTTTCAAAATGTTATCAATAAATTAACGTAAAAGTTAATTGAATACGGATAAATTTAGATTACGTTCTTAATCACAGAGTAGTTTGTAATAGGTATAGATAATGTACTGTACTAATCACTTTCTAAGTGCATTTACGTGGATCGCTCTACCTGAGTAGTCAAATTCTCGTAAATATAGATATCCAACTTGATACATCTACTTTTTTATAAAAGTAAAATGTTTCGTGGTATAATACTGTTTCATGATGTTAATTGAGCACAAGAACATTTTACCTCTCAAACTGTTTTTAAACAACGCCTCATCTCAAATTCACTTAAAAAGTATATTATCTTAAAACAATATTGTTTCTTTGTTTTTATTTAGAGATTCCTCAGATTTTAATTGTTTTTTTATGCCTGCTTCTATGAATTAATCCCACTGGTAAAAGATACTATAACTGGAGTTGGGGAGTCTTTTACCTAAGTTGCCGCAAAATTAGCCACAAAAGGATGTCCGCCCACCTATGAATACATACATACACGTGTTCGTGCATATTTACGTATGGGCTCTGCTGCTGCTGCTACATGTACGTGTAATGAGAAGGCGCATCTGAAGAAAGTATACACTAGCATAATGTGAGCTCGTGTGGTGAAAGCGGGGGTGGAGTAAGTATCAAGGGAGAAACGATACCTTCCCCTCCCCCACGTGGTACGAATGTTCGTAATGCTGCACCACTCGCGTTGCTATTATGCATCATGTTCGTTGGTCTGTACTGGTTGGGTAATTGGGGGACAAAGAGAAAGTATCGGAGAGGTAAGCTTTTGTCGAATTCATAGATATTACATGTAAAGTGCAAGGGTTATTGGAGGACAAAAATATCATGGATGGAATATTCAAGGTGTAGAGGCACAAAGAGAAAGAGATGGAATTATTGATGTACGAACTCTTTTGATGTACCTAGTTTGTCGTGGTGCAACAAGCAGCTGTTAGGCAAACGATCACTTCCGCATGTGTGCAGTGCTTATTAATTTTTATACTTGCACAAGGTGTACCCGCCCACGTACGCTTTTTCATATTGACGCTTGTCAAATTTTTATGACTGATGTAGTTCCCTTACATAGTTGTTTAGGTATGTGTTATTTAGGTACTTGCTAAGCTCAAGTATTTATCAGACGGAAAGGAAGGAGAACCATTCCTGAATAATGTAAGCCTTCAGTGACAAGTACCATTTTCACCCTAATTTGTGGCTCTGATATCATCTTTTCTATTTTTATTTAATTTGCACGTTTATTCTCTATTTTTCTATCCTCCTGTTTCTCAAATATATCATCATTAACTTTGTCAACTTCACTAACTTAATTTTTACATCTTAAACTACCTACATACGTGCTTTTCATGATCGCAAGTACAGCCATAACTTCTAATATTTACATTTATCGTTGTTTAAGGTTTTGCCACCCAGTTTTCACAAAGTCTTGCCTCCCTCATGTGCACATAGTTGATAAATAGTCCTTAAAATATTTCTTTTAGCAGCTTACAACACAAAAATACACATGCATCCAATGAAAAGATCAAGCTGAAATTATTTACGGCTAGCTTAACTTCCGCGGAATGATACTATTTATATATATATACTAGGGGCATCACCAGCAGTAGCAAGTGCTCACTTGGCTATGATTTCCAGTGGCGACGCGTAGGTACTTGGTCTCTCGCTGCAACAGCAGCAGTCGAAATAGCTACTCTAGGCAGATAAACCATCCAACGGAAGAATGGGGGGGGGGTATAGCTCGCGAAGAGGGAAGTGTACAGTCGCGGGGAGGCCTCGAGCATCTCAGCAGGTCTGGCTCTAATTAAGTGCCCCATCCCTCCCCCATCGCCGTACCCTTAAAGAAGCACCGCGTGAAGAAGCAGCTCTGATGAGACGAGGAGCTGGTGATGCTGAGCATCGTGTTATGATGAGTATTATCATATATAACCGAAAATGAAGACGAATAAATCTGAAAGAAGGAAATAACTGTTTGGACCGTTTCAAATGTTTCCAAAGAAATTTTTAATAAACGTAAGTGTTACGTATAAAATGGCTATGTCTTCCAAGTAGAGAATCTCACACATATAAGAGCTTTTAGTGTATATTTAAATGCTGTTGACACAGACCACCTACTGCTCTTACCTATACTGTTACACTTTCGCGTTCAATACGCTCCAATCAAACGCCACCCCCAAAGTACCTACAGCACCTATGTACGATTTAACATCAAAATATTTTTAAATAAAACAATTTTAAGAGCGTAATGATGAGCGATCGATGAGTAAGAGAATGAGTTTAGCGATATCATGTCCACCGTAACGATTAATAAAGAATAATAAATTGATGGAGAAGACGTCAGATACGTATATTCAACGCTTACGTGGTACTGTCACTGTCTCTGCAGTCTATGTGCCTGGGTTGCAAAACTTCATTTGTCTTTAAACTCTAGAAACTTCAAATTGTGTAAAAGAGACCATCAAGTGCTGTTGCCATAATTAGCTATACCACTGGTGACGATGCATCGTTATCGTCTCCATTGGTGGTCAGTGAGTGTGAAATAAACTTTTGCATTATTTATTCAGCAATAACGTTTGCCTATGAGCTACTTCCAAATATTTCCTCTTTTTCTGAATATTGTTACACTCTTCTCAATATGTTATTGGCGTATTAATTAATATTGACTGGAATCGCAGTAGTTTAACATAAAAATTATGGCACAAAACTTTGAACGGGAGTTACTTGCAAACTAAGTTTCGTGTGAATATTCTACTACAATAATGCCAACAATATAATCTACATATACATCCCGCTGGTGGAGAATTTCTAGAGAAAAAGAGAAAGAGAGTGAGGAATTCAGTGGAAAAAAGTATCTAGATGTGAAAAAGATAGAATTGTAGATTTACTGTATACATAGATTTTCTGTCTTATAATTTCTTTATGTGCTGTAAGAAGTAGATTATGGTAAACATCTAAATAAATAGTAGCCAAGAACACGCCAAACCGACACGACCACCATAAAGTACTGCCTAGATAGATCTATTTTAAGATTTACACTGTACACCTTATATCTCTCTCTTCAGAAGAAGAGAAAGATTATGGAACATCATGACGTAGGTAGACCAGTAGGTACAGGTAAATAGGTCGGTAGTGTGAGTAACGACGCTCCAGTAAGTGCATTCTAAATTTTATACATTTGTGGAAAATCTCTAGCTACATGTTTTTGGTAATAGGAATGAGTTTGGAGGGATCGCCAACTGTACTGCCTCTCTCCTAGAGCAGACAATTTCTTTCTGCAAGGTGACTTAGAATTTCGATGTAAAGTAAGACCTGGTAGCAAGACTTTACCCTCAGAGAATAAAAAACGAGCTCTTCAGATGTGGATGAGTAGCAAACGGCTAAGAAGCGACACAGAGCTCGGTTGCTCGCGCACTTCTATCCCCCTGCCTCCCCCTCCGGTAGTATACTCGTGCACGCTTTTCAGCTTCATGTATCTCTAAGGCTGAGCCACCCCTGCCACGCTCACCCTTCCTTTCGCTTCACCCCACTATCCAAACAGCAGCCAACCAACCCCCCGAAGCGCCTTCTCCCTTCGACATGGCACACGGCGCACAGTAGCTCTCGAGCGGGCGCGTCAGCGAGAAGGGCTAGGTTTCTCGCTCGACGTACCCACCAATATCATACTGTTATTGTATTGTTGTTGTTATTGTAATTGTTATTGTGGAGTTGTTATTGTTGTTGTTGTGCTGTGAAGGTAATAATAGTTGAATATCCACACAACTAGAACGAGGATGATTATATACACGAATAGTAAACGATTGGTTGTTGGATTGGATGTGCCATTGACGTTGTGTGTTTTGTGACGAGTAAAGCATGTAACAACAGCGTTGCTATGATTAGTAGTACAAACAGCAGCGTATACCTCAACTTTGAAATCAACTACGTCATGAGATGCAAGAAAAAATATCAATACTAATATTAATAGTGGTAGCAGTGCAACGAGCAACAATCGAATCGAATCAGTTACAATTATAACAACAACAACAACAACAACAACAACAACAAATATTGTATAGTAATAGTGATAACAACAACAACAACAAGCAATCAACAGTAGCAATTTTAATAAGTATATGCTGACGACTACACAAGCCTTTCGATAAATCGGTGGTATGACGCGTTTTGCCGCAAGAGCAAAAACAGTGACAACAAAATAACGGCATTGAAATTTCCGATCAGACTGGTCCCTTTGACATAGTAGTAGACTCGAGGGTGATGCCTGTGTCACCCTCTAATCTTAGTAGGGGTAAGTTGCAAAAGAAAAACTTGCTTCGAGGTCCAAGTCGTAATGGGCCAACGGTGCTTCTTGATCGAATCAAGCTAGAAATACTTTAATTTTGTAGTCGATGGAAAGGGAACGATTCGTAAAATGGATGTTTAGCTGATGAAATTGTTGCTGGATAAACTAGTAGATTTGAAAAAAAATCATCTGCTTTCACGTGCACAATATAGGTCAAGAGTGCAGTAGTGGTAACGGGAGCAATTTGAATATTTAAAATTTTTTATTTCAAGGAGCTCTTGTGAAAAAAAAATTTAGCGAAACATTTGG